AACAGGCCAACCATCAGTGGTTTGCGTGACTCTCCTCATTTCTCTTATCCAATGGTTACAAATAATCACCATCCGATCATTCTCTCTTTCTGAAGAAGTTGGGTTCCACAATCACTATTCTTCTCATTTACGTGGAATGTTCTGCAAGAAATAATATTGTGGAAATTACTCACATCACCTCTCTACTTGACTTTGCCTTTAAGATTATTTGCGAATCTTCTTGGACCTTGAAATTGTCTGCAACCCTTCTAGCATACACCTATGTTAACGTAAATACATCCTTGATCTCCTTTCCGACAATGACTTGCTTGTCTCCCGACCAGCATCAACACCCATGAATTACTTCAATCGTCTACATGTTACCACTGATAAAACACTACCTAATCCTTTTGTACATCGTCCAAGACATTGCTTTTTCTATACAACACCTTAGTCAATTTGTCTCTCAACCTACGACCTCTCACCATCAAGTTACTTTTTCGTGTTTTACGTTATCTAAAGCAAAGTTCAGGTTTTGATGTTTTTCTCGTACCACCCAACTCAAGGCTTTTAAGACTCTGATTGAGCTAGGTGCCCTAAATCACGATGTTTTGTTATTGGTTTTTCCATTTTCCTTAATATCTCTCATCTCTTGGCACTTCAAGAAGCAACTGACGATCTCACAAAGCTCTTCTGAAGCTAAATACCGTGTTTTAGCTTCCACTACGGCGTTTTGTTATAATCATTTTTTATTATTCTGTCATTTAACTTTATTATTATTATAAATATATATTATCTTACTCTCCAATACATAAGATTTTGTTTTGGTCATTATATCTCATTATGCATTTTTTTCCTCTCCCTTTCTCTTTTTTATGAGTTTTGACATAATAGTACATTTAGTTTATTATTATAATATAAATTAATTTTTTACAACTTTACAAAAAATAAAAAAAGTAATGTAATATTTTAAAAGTACTACAGAACATATTAATTTTAAAACAAAGTTCATCAAAAGTTTATATTTGTAAGGGAAATATTAACAATAAATTATTTGAGACATTTTTTTAATATTCAATAACATTCATGTAGAAATTCATTAAAAAAAGCTAGATTTGTCTTGATAAAAAATTGTATCAGAATTTTTGTTTTTACATTTTATATCGGACCTATATCTAGGTAAGATAAATGTTAGGAATATATTGATTTGAACATTTTTATTATTATTTTGAAATCGTAAATTTGTGTAAGTTTTATTACGTAATGATTTTTTTATAATTTTCAATAACCGAATAAAATATATCCAAATTAACAAAAAAGTTATTAAAAATATATTGAAGATAAGATTGTCTTGGTAATGGTCCTTATTTGACTTACATCGTCATTACCTGTTTCTAAATTGTAACTAGAATAATTTCGATAATGACAGTTTAAGTTTTCTTTTCGAAATTTGCTTTTATTAAAAGGTGTTTTTCAGAATGTTGAAATTTCCACACTTTAGAAAGGTAATTTTCAAAATGGGTTAATTAAAATTTTAATATACTTTCACAAAGTATTAAATGCTATAAAATTTTAATACTTTTAAAAACCACTTTTCAAAATGTGTTGAAGTTTTAATTCATTTAGTCAAATAGAGAGGTATTTTGGAAAAGAAAAGAAAAAAAAAAAATATATATATATATATATATATATATATATATATATATATATATATATATATATATATATATATATGTAAATGGTGCCCTTAACAATTGTGTATTAATGGGTGCTAAACTTACTTATCATGTGAAGTCATTTAAAATTGGATTTTTTTTTATAACACTTTTTTTTATATATATAACACTATTTATTTATTTCATTAATATTTATTTTTCTCTTTAATTGTTTTCTCACAACTAACCTAAATATTAAAAAAAACTTATTTTTGTTAAAATTATGTTTCAAAATAATTTAAAATATACGTAAGGATTTATTTTGAATAACAATATAATTCAACTACATTTAAATGAAATGCAATATTTTAAATAAAATAAATAGGTCAGATAAATATGTTAAAGATTATAAATAATTTATTTAATTAATTAGAGAATATTATTTTAATGATGAATGTTGTAGAGTTTTAATATAAATATTATTTATAATCTTTGAAAATTGAGATGTAGAATTTTAAATGGATATGTATATAATTGATCTGTTAGTGCGAATGAAACAAATGACAATGAATGCATGAATAGGATGAATGTAGCAGGTAGAAGATTTATCCGAATAATGATGAATGAAATGGTTGAAATAAGATTTGAAAATGATAGAAACAAAATGAAGAAGAAGTAACATGACATACCTCTGGGGTTCTTCATGCGATAGTAAATATAACTTGTGGTGAGGGCAACGAGTAAAAGGGCGATTATGGCACTTACCAGTTCAGAACTGAGGTTCTCTAAAAAAGGTAAAGAGTGTGTGTTATTTTTCAACTGGGGGAGGTGGGGGAGGTGAAGTAGTTGCATCATCTTCTCTAAAGTCTAAAAACTCATAAATCCAAATAGAGAAACATACACATATATATGGGTGGGTGGGTTATTGTTTAATTCTTTTCTTCTTCTCTTTATTTTCTTTAAATGAAGCAAAGAATAATTCCCCAAGCTAAAATATAAGATATTCTAAAACAAACATTTATTCATAACTGAGGAAAAAACCATTGCAAATATTAAATTGTGATAATTCAATGAGTCTATGATGGAAAGTTGATTGATTCCAAGATTGTTGAAGGTTCCTAGAATCTTAATTACCTCCTTAATTTAATGATATAAAGGAATAAAAATATCTTACGAATATGATTGTTAAAGAGGTGGAAAAGTCTTTAAAAACACATCAGTAGTGAGTAGTTGAGGGAAGGAGTAATGAAAATACCACGCAACTTACTTTGAAAACTAGAACCAATAGAGGATGGTGGTTAAAAAAAACAGAGGTTGAGGAAGATTTATAAATAGGATAGTAATATTAATGTCAACAATAAAGATAAGAAAAATAATGAGATTCTAAAATATCAGTATGAATAGTGATTAAGTGTTAATATTGGTGATTACAAATAAATGATAAAGATTGTTCTTTATAATATTTTGATATTGGATGTTGAAATTATAGAAAATAGGGATTTATTAATAAATGTTAATCTAAATATTTAAAAAAAGATATAACTCATTAATAAATTTCTTTATGTAAGATTTATAAATTTTTGTTGATAAGAAAATACAATATGAGTCAAATATAATATGATCTGGTTAATGTGATGGATATAAACGTGTGTAACAATATATATATATATATATATATATATATATATATATATATATATATATATATTTATGAATGAGTATTATTTGAATTATTAACTTAGTATAACACAATTAATTAATATCTAATTATGTTATTTACACATGTTTTTATTATGTTAAAAAATTGAGTACGCATGATCATTAATAATGACGACTTACTAATATAGATATTTATTATTAAATATAATATAATTTTTTATATATAAAATTAATACAAATTATTTTTTAAAACTTGTATATTATGAAATTAGGATTTTTAGTATCATTATGATCTTTACTTGTTTAATTTGTCCCAACCCATTCTTAATATTTTGATTATACTACCTCCACCTTGCCGTCATTTCATTCATTTTAAAACCAACTAGCTTTGATTAATTTTCATTCCACCCCAGTTTTGGCTAAATCACTCCAACTTCCCGACATTCTTCACAAAATTATCCGTGTGTTCGATGTCATTCAGGAGTATGACTTTCCAATAAAAAATGAAATATATATTTTTCTTTATTAATTTTAAATTTTAATACAACATAATATATATTTTATTGTATATTTTATATGAAATTCAAAAAAACAAATTTTGTATCATAATTATTTGGATTACTATTTAAAATGTATTTTGTATGATAACTAATGACAGATTCTGTAGTAATTAATTCAACTTCAATGAAAAAATAATTTTATCATATTTAAACCAGCTACCATTAAAATATAATTTACTTAAAAAATATTAATTATAAAATCATTAATTTGATTACTTAAAAAAAATTATATCTAGAATTAATTATACAATGAAAATAAATTTCTATTTTATTAAATTTTTTTCTTAAAAAAATATAACGAAAATATCTTCCCTTTCGATAATGTGATTTAATACTAAAATGAAAATACATTCATATTTTATATTGTTTTGGTACACCTACCAACAACATGAAAACAATTTTATTTTATTTTTAAATAATGAAAACATGTTTATGTGAATACTGAATAATGAAAATGTATTTGGAAGAGTTTTTTTTTTTTTTTTCAAAAAGTTATATCTAATCATGTTGGTGAACCAATGTTATTTATAATTGAAACTAATAGATCCTCAAAACAAAACTCAACATAAAATTAAAATTGAGGTTTCATGATTGAATAGTGCTTGTTGAAGGGATTATAATCTGCAATTGCAAAATTGTTACTTCTACTAAGTCAGGGAGAGAATCTCCAGTGCCACATAAAATAATATACCCATTTTTCTTATATTATTGTTAACTACTATTTTGATTGCGTATTACGTGTGATGTATTGAGTTAAAAATTATGACAAATAAATATTCTGAATATCTAAATTACATTTTAGATTTATAATATCCGATTTATGTTATAATGCAAGTTATTTTTACACAGTGATATTAAAAAATGATTGAAAAAGTAGTTTTTTTAGGTTAATCGCAGGTCGTGTATGTGGGGAGAAGAGAGTAAGAGTCTCAATGGATGAAATTTGAAAAATTGAGAGGTAAAACACGTAAAAAAGAATAGATAATAAAATTTACGGAATCATGGAAATTAGGAAAGAAAATGTGGATGTTATTGCTAACCAATGAGTGAATGCTACATCGGCGCACGTTGGCGAGCAAAACAAAGCATCAGGAATTGGCATTGGATCTGAATTCTGATAATCCTATTTTGTGTTGTATTGTTTTGTATGATGAAGACGGTCATGGAAGCTCAACTCAGAGTGTTGAATCCCTCCACTCTGGGTCGCCACTTTTTCTGCCAAACAACCACGTTCCCACGCTCTCACCCTTTCCTTTTCTTCCAACGCGCCGCTTCCACCACACCCATCTCTTCCTCTCTGGCGCGCCCCCTCATTCCTCCAAATTCCAATCACCGTAACTTCATTTTCTCCTCTCTCACCTCTTCCCAATCCCTTAACTCTTCCACCCACTTTCCCAATGCTCACCACAACACCTTTCTCTCTCAATCACAGGGTGGTGGTAGCGCTTTCGTCTGGAACCCTGCTTCGGACACCCCAAGCGCCGCGCTTTACGGACCCAAAGACCGCGTGCCCACGGTGGTCCTGTTGGGGTGGCTCGGAGCGAGGACCAAGCACCTCAAGAGGTACGTCGAGTGGTACAATTCGCGTGGCTTTCACGCGGTTACCTTCGTCGTCGATGTCAACGAGCTACTTCGAATTGACCTCGGCCACGTTCTCGAGACCCGAATCTCTCTCCTCGCCGACCACCTCGTTTCTTGGTTGTCTCGTGAGGAACAAGATGGGAAGGAACGATGCTTGGTTTTTCACACTTTCAGTAACACGGGTTGGTTTGTGTACGTGGACTTGTTAATCATTCTGCTAATTCCAAACGCCCCCTAGTTACTATTCCTTGTTTGGTATATATATACGTACTTTTCCTTTTCTTTGTAGGTATGGTTACATTCTAGCCCGAATGCTGGGTAGTGAGGATCTCATGGAGAAGATTAAGGGCTGCATTGTTGATTCGGGAGGAGGAGAACCTTTCAATCCACAGGTTTCTAATCACTAATGCTCTTACTTATTATTGCTTACTTTGAGTATTCATTGCTTAAACCTTGAAATAGGGAATGCACCTTTTGTTTAAAAATCTAGCATTTCCAAACTCAGCTGTGTTTTACTTTGCTTTATATTCTCTTGGTTTTGTTACCTCCACTTACTCTCTGGTCTCCCCTGCACCATTATGATTGAAGGAAAATTGCGACATTGTGTGCTGTGTATAATATAACGCGGGGGTCAGCAGTCCCCATCTTTCGATTTAGAATCTGTTATTCAAGGCTTTCATTTCTTATGTTCCAATTAATAAAATAGAAAGGAGGAGGGGATTGTAATGAAATGATATTATGAGGCTAATATTCTTATTTGAATTGTTAATACAGGATGGAATGCATTTCACTCCATCCTATCAAAAATACTCTTCTTTATCTCCTATCCTCTAATCAATAAATTATTAGGTAGTCAAGGACCATCAAGTATTCCTGGTCCCAACCAATGTTTGTTTAACGTAGTTACAATTTACAAGGAATCACTAATAATACTCAATTACATGTCATGCTATGGGTAACATGTAATCCTTTTCTTAAATATCCAAACATAGCTTTTAATCCCTTTCTAAAACTACCTTGATTTGTTTATTAATTGTCAAATTCCTTGGATTATGAATTGTCAAATTGTTATATCACTCATTTTTTCTCTCTGTCAAAATGGCATGGGGACTACACGTTTATATTGTAGGTCTGGGCTGCCGGTTTTTCTGCTGCTATATTTAAGAAGCGCAGCTCTTTAGGATCTGTAGCCGAGGTAGAAGGGAAGCTGAAATCAGAGACTGAAGCTAGCTTGTCAAATATTCAACAGGACGAACCTTCCAAGATTGAAACAGTGGTCTTGGCACTATTAGAGAAGCTCTTCTCATTTGTTTTGCAGTTGCCAGATGTGAATCAGTAAGTATCATCCCAGCAACCTTATATGGATCGCAGCGTTATCTAAGTTTGTTAGTTGGCGGTCTCATATTCAATATACTTAAAAATTTTAGGTGGTAACTGGTAAACACATTTTTTTTGTCTCTTGAAAACAGGAGGTTAACAAGGATTGTGAATGTGCTGACGAAACACCAGCCTTGCCCCCAGCTTTACCTGTATAGTACAGCTGACAAAGTAGTTCCATTTCAATCAATAGAAGCGTTAATTGAGGAGCAGAGAAAGATGGGAAAGTGGGTAAGGTCCTTTAACTTCGGATCATCACCCCACGTGGATCATTATAGGACATTTCCGGACCTATATTTATCACAGGTTACTGAGTTTTTGAACCAATGTTTTTCCACAACCACACAGACACCTTACAAGGCTTAAGATGGTTGCCCTTCAAACTGTTAATTTTTTGCATGTCCGCATTGGAATTTGCTGCTTTAGTTTTCCAAACGGAATAGTCCTTCATTATCATAACAAGGAGAGAAATTAACAATGGCCACACTTTAAGGCCATTGAAACACTACATTGACTTGCTAACAGTGCCAAGCAATTACCCAGTAGAATAACTCTTTTGAAGATTTTTTACAAAGATCAAGTGACTAACAGAAATTGAACATTGTAAACACGGGGATTCAACATCCACGATGGTTAAGAAGATAGACAAATTCAGAGGTGAGCATAACCACTCCCTCTGTGTGTAACCCATTTTTCTCTGTCTTCTTCCTTGAAGCATTAAATTTGTCGAATTGAGGTGGTTGCTTTTTTTGGTATATAGGAAAGGAAAGATGACATTTTTCCAGATTGAAGAAAGGGGTTGCATAGTGGAAAACTATCATGTGACATTTAGCGGACATTTGATATAGAGAAAAAAATTAGTTTTATGGGTATGTAAAGTTGAGACAATATGTTGTGAGTTTTATTTACATGTTAGAAATAACATTTGTGAGAAAACAATATTTTTTGTGATGGTTTTGATGGAGTGCTTGTTGAAGGTAGCACCAATTGTTCCATGGTAGAGGCTAAGTGGGTCGGGCCACAATCGAATCGTGGTGTTTGGACTGTTATTCTTAAGTAAAAAGAGTTGCACTCTGATTAATAGTTATAGTTTTTGACTAAATGGTCACTCAATCCTAACAATTGATATAAAGTGATGGTCACAAGTTCGATTCCTGATGGGCCCTTATTAAAGGAGAGATTGTTGCAGGTTACATCCTTGATCATAACAGTGCTTAACATCTATGCTCTCGACTTTTTTAACCATCCCCATCTCAGTTGGGTTTCGGGTTTTTCTGCCCCTGTCCCGTCCCTTTTATTAAAATGGATTATTTCCTTTTATTATTACTCTAAATCCTCTTCGATCTCCGCCTCGACTTTTTTAACCATCTCCATCCCAGCTTGGGTCTTAGGTTTTCCCACTCTCGTCCCGTCTTTGATCTATATTATTTTTAAAAAATAATTATATTTATAATAAATTAATTTTACTAAATTTATGTATTTTTTATACATAAATAAATATTTATAATTTTACAATTTGTAATTATTATTAATTAAATATATTTTTTAATTTATTATATTTATATTAAAATATGTATATCAAATAAATATTTAATTATTTTTTATTTATACATATGAAGAATATTTATATCTTTATTATTATAATATTGTACTCAAATATTTGAATACTTATAATATTATTATAATATTATATTTAAATATTTGATTATATATATAAGTTAATTCATATTTAAGTTGTTATTTAAAAATATGAAATATATAATTTATAAGAAAATATTTAATAAGTTAATTTTTATTTAATTAGTTCGAAGTAATACAAATTTAAATTATTAATTTTTTAAATCCTTTAAAATATAATTATTTTATTAAGATAAAATTTGATATATGACAAATAAAAATAATAAAATCTAAAAAATATGACATAATAAAACTTAATAAGTATAAATTATAAATAAAATAATATTAGTTATGTAAAATATTTAGAAAAAAATTAAAAAAAATAACTTTGTGTTCATCAAATTAGTTAAAAAGATTGAAATAAATAAATTTGAGAGATTAAAGAAAGGTAAAAAACTAAAAAGTAAGAGAAAAAGAATAATGTAGTAAACTAATTGATATAAAAAATTAAAAAAAGGTAAAAGAATTAAAAAGTGGACAGAAGAAAAGTAAAAAATGATCTTATATGTAATAGAAAAAGAAAAAGAAATATTTTTAAAATATTAATATTTTAAACTTTAAATTTAAATATCAATTCAAAGACGGAGATGGGGTGGAGATTACATTACCCATCTCCCGTTCCCGTCCCCGACTTTTTAAAAGCAGAAAGCTCGAACTCGCTCTCCGGTCAACTCAGATTTTCCCCATCAAATTCGGGACGGAACGGTTGGGTTCCCATAGATACGGATTTAATTGTTATCCCTAATTGAATGTCATTTTCTATAATAATAATAGAAATTAAATTATATCATCAATTTTTTAATTTGAAATAAATAAAAATATAAAAGTTTATAATTATTCAAAAATACACAAAAAATAAATTTCAGGTTATAGTCAAATAATTAGTTGTCAGTTTTATTATTTTGCATTTTCCAACTAGTTAAATAGGTACTTAAACCAAACAATTACATTTTTCAATGCTAATTTATCAACTTTCAACTTGAAGCATTCAATTTTAGCAAACTTTTAAACTTTCAATTACTTAATCCATTAATTTCACTAACTACATCCTAAATCATAGAGTAAAAAATATATAAAAATAAATTTAAAATATGTTATATAATATATTATTATATACTAAATTAAGAAAGTTTATTATTAATATATAACTATTAAAAATGTAATTTTTAAAAAAATATATGAAAAAACATTAAATTAAGTTAAAATAACAAAGTACAATTCGATAATTCATCCACATAATTTATTTTGTAAATAAGGGACCATGGATTGGTCATTGATTTTCTATGTTATTAAATTGAAATAGTCCATCTTTTGAGTGTAATGTACCAGGACGAATATGCGGCCAAATTTGAAAGACAAAAGAAAATCTTCATATTTTTGGCAGCGCTTGGATCCATGTTTTGCTAAAGGAACTATAAAATTAAAGCAACTTTGGACATGGATCACAACATTTACAAATAAAATAAAAGAAAATAAGAAGCAATATAATATGAATGGTTAATATCTCAAAACGTAACATTTAAATTTTTTAAAATAATGACAATTTATATACATTTTAAATTTGTAATTGTCTCAAAATATGTATTTTTTATGAGAAAATACAAGTTAAACTCCAAAATAAATAATAATTTTACATTTTTTCACTAATAATATATAGTAGGATTGTTTTACCTTTTAATAAATATTAAAAATATTTTCATTTAACTTATTACATCCGTAAATTTATTACATATACTATTTTTATTTTATTCTCTATAAATTAATTACATACTTTATTTTATATATCTTAAGCTTAATACGCCACATTAACATATATTAAATTTTAATTCAGGGAGTTCATGTATTTCTGTTAGTAAAATTCAAAGATATATAATTTTCTTTTTATGAATTAAAATTTGTTAAAAATTATAAATTAAGTTCTATTATGTTTTTCTATTTATATTTTTAATACAATTTAATTAATGAAAAATTATAAGAAATATGTTGAAAAAATTGTATTCCCAATACTTCTTTACTTGATGTAAGCGATAAAATGTAACGTTGTATCCGATTCAATTCTCATCTAACACCCACCTAATCAGAGTGCTTCCTCGTGCTTAGAGCGAAAGCAATTTGAGCACATTCAATGGCGGATCACCATGACCCCATGCTCATGGTGCTTCCCACCCTCTCTCCGCCCAACACCTACCAAGCCGTTGTCAACGGTGGCACCTTCGATCGACTGCACGACGGCCACCGCCTCTTCCTCACCGTCTCTCTCTCTCTCTCTCCCCTATATTCTTTGAAAAAAATTCCATTGTTTATACTTAAACCAAATAATGCGAAAGTCTGAAACTTGTATGCAGGCTTCAGCGGAGTTGGCAAAGTCCCGGATTGTAATCGGAGTTTGCGACGGTCCTATGCTGGCCAAAAAACAGGTTACCGTTTCCATTTTCCAGATTTAGTTTTTCCTTATTTTTTATATTATTTCAGATTGTGAGATGAATACATATAATTCCCTTTCTGACTAATCTAATCTATATTTAGATACAACCTCGATATACTGCTTCTACAGTTTTAGGTTTTTAACTGAACTGCAAAATGCAATTCGTGTTACAGTCCAACCAATTCGTTTCTTTGATTATAATCCACTTTTTGCGTACCAATGGAATTGTTGATTTTTTTTTCAGCCTTTTTCTTGTTGACTGCTCAAACTATTTGCAGGAGTAAGTCAGTTTACGAAATTTCCAATAGATGAACTGAATTTAGCGCTTAAACAGAGAAAGCTCTTGAAATTCAGTGATCAATGTTTCTTCTTTATAAAAAATATCTTTAGTAAATGGTACGAGCTAGCTGAATTTAAACTCTCGTGCTATTTGATCTTGTTCATTGAACATTTTAACAATAGGGTGAAAATCACTTTATTTCTGTATAACAACCCCGTGGCTTGTGGATTTTTACATATAAAGGAGTCTGTTATAATCCTTGTGCTTTCATTTTCTACTTTTCAGTTTGCTGAACTGATACAGCCAATTGAAGAAAGGATAAATAATGTCAAAACTTTCATAAAGGTATGAGTATGAGTCCAAGCAGTGATAGCTTTCCTTATTATTCATGAATTGAATTTCCTGTGCTTTGGTCTTTAAAGAAGAAAAACAAAAGTGACATGTATAATTGTTTATCAGAATACATTAAGCTTTTGATTTTGCATGTTAATGTAGACACGAGGGACGGCTTATAGACATCTTTTACATTTGTTCAACAGCAACATATCCTTTTCAAGCAGAATTTAGAGAGTTTGCATGGTTTCGTTTTGTTGGTTATGTGTTAAGAGATATAATATAAAAGTTTTCACGTTTCTTCATCTAACTCTTTATGTCTTTTGGAATAGTTAGTTCGTGGGCTATGTCCGTGAATGTGACAATAATAATACACTAAGCTACATCTGTAAAACTAGTTTCCATCAAATGCTTGATGTTTCTTCTAGTAGAATTTGTATGAAATTTTTCTTATTTAAATTTTGAGTAATATTTGTTTGAAGTAACATGCAGTCTATCAAGCCAGATTTGGAAGTGCAAGCTGAACCAATCACAGATCCGTTTGGTCCTTCCATTACAGATGAAAATTTGGAGGCTGTGATTGTAAGGTTAGTATCAAGACTGACTCGTGTGTGGCCATATTAATTTTTGATAGAGGTAGTATGCATTTGTTTATATATGCATACGCAGCTTATGAAAACTATCTTCTTAGTTCTGAGATCAAGTACCTCATTCCAATTGGCTGGTTTGAGATCAAGTCTTGTTTGGTAGAAAAACTTAGCTAGGGATGTGCTCTTTTATCCCTTGCTCCATTGTTATCATGATTTTGTGATTTCTCTTGAATTCTGTTTGCAGTAAAAAAAATTTGAACACAACTTCATACATGTTCACTTTTAAAAGTGTCTTGGGGTTATTTGATTACTAACCGGATTTGGCTATTTTACAGCAAAGAGACATTACCGGGAGGATTGGCAATAAACAGGAAAAGAGCTGAAAGAGGCCTTTCACAGTTGAAGGTCTCACTCAATTTATTGTTAGTGGTTTGGTAATTATTTTCTGATATAAAAATAATTAAGAAAAATTCTTTTCACTGGTCGAAATATTGTCACATATTAGGAATTATTTTCCTGGATCATATGCAGATTGAAGTTGTGGATTTGCTCTCTGGAGAATCAGGTGAAATTAAGCTGAGTTCGTCGATGCTACGAAAGATTGAGGCTGAAAAGGCCAAACAACAAAGCACGATATTGCAGACATAGTTAAAAAAATGTTTTTAACTTTTTTTTCTTAAAAATATTTCTTGAAAGATGAGTTTAAGATGTCAATTAAAGCAACTGACATGTGGTTTGCATATTTCTGGCACTGTTTCTAAGTTTTAAGGTTGGAAGTCGCATTCCTCAGTTAAAAAGTTGTAATGATTTATCGTTTTTTTTAACGCACGGCAACAAAAACACTTTGTTGTATTTATATTTTCTCTGATAACAATAAATGTTTTAACGTAATTATTTTACTGTAAACGGTGTTGTTTATTGGATACTGTCACAAGAGTATATTATATAATACAATAAATTTAAATGAAAATAGATAATATCAAATCAAATTCATAGAACACTTGAAGTTATTCCCATTAACATTATAAGTTTCTCAGTAAACTAGTTTATCTGCATGCAAAATAAAATATGCAGCAATGTGTTTCATAAAGTTATAATCAATTGGCTATAAAGAATGATATAGCATATCATTTTTATTAAAAAATATCAAGAAATAAAGATCGCTCAAGTTAAGGGGTAAACTTATTCAAATTGTTGGTCGCTTGGTAAAATTTTTGGCTTTTTAAAATAGTACTGTGAGGATTTTCTTTTTAAATCTTTTAAGATGAATACAATTTATTCAACACATTAAACATATAAATACAATTTTTTTATTGAAAAGTTACTTTTATTTAAGTTACATATGGAATTAAATCTTTCGAATTCTTAAAAAATGTGACTCAAGTACAAATTATGAATAAATACGATCTCACTGTGTAAAGTTTTCCTTACGCAAACGATGATATTTATCAAGAATGTTAAAATTTATACTAAAAAAATTTCTGATGGATTAATAGAATAAAATTTTACACGGAAAATAAAATATTAGGTTCTAATTTTATTAACCCTAATTTTTTTTCGGCACCCTTATAAGTCTCTCACATCAGTTAAAAATAATTTATATACAATTCATCAAAGTATCTTTTGAGAATAATTTAAAATTATTACTAGAAGCTAAAAAATAAATAATATCATAAATATAAAAATTAATCGGATATTATTATCACAACAACGTACTCATACTAAATATTTTTTTTAAATAATTATATTAAAATGTAAAACCGTGATATGTGAACAGTAAAGTCCTTGAAACAATATAAAAAAGTATTACATTATTACATAGACCAATAAAAGGAGCAAGTAAATATACTCTATTATGGATTCACATAAGTTAATTTTAAATAAACTCTCATACAAATTACCGAATATGATGATAATACCTAAGAGATCTAAAATGTATTTTCTTTTTGGTGTTTTCTTTTTTTATGTTAAATCATAATGAATTAATTACAAACCAAAGAATATGCTTAAGTATGCTTCGCGTTCAATCAAAATCACTGTTTTTCACAACAATTTTCCTAAGATTATGTTTTTTTCATCTTTTGTTTTCATTTGTGTTTCAATTTTCTACAAAAATATTGATAGTTTTAACAAATGATAAATTTAGTCTATGAAATTATATCTCATTAGTCTAAAAATTAAGAAAAATAAATAAATAATTTGTTTTTTATAATTTTATTTAAGTTCATAAAATTAACTATGTTATATATATATATATATATATATATATATATATATATATATATATATATATATATAGTGTGTGTGTGTGTGTGTGTGTATTTCGAAAACTTAAATAATAATTATAATACTATATGCTTAAGAATTTAAAAATTATTAATTTTAGGAATTTAAGTGAAATTATAAGAAAAATATATTTTTTAGTTTTAGAAATCAAATGCTAATCCAAGTTCATTTCATTTTCCTTTTTAAGATCACGTTCACTTCCTTGAAACTTTAAGAGTAAAACAAATACTATTTAAGGTGGAAATTATCAATATTTTTTAAATAAAACAATTAATTTAGTGTCTTTTTTGTTTAAATATCAATGTTACTTTCCTTTTTCACTTGTGTCCTTTTTTTTAGTGTCTTTCTTAAATATTTTAACAATAGTATAAAATTTATATTTAGTGTTACCCGTTGTATTTTCTCGTGTTTAATTTCATTTTATTCGTAATTTATATCCAATGAAGGATTAATGTAGTGTTTGTTTCAGTTTGGCGTGGGAGGTTTGAAGTTAAACAGTTACCGTTTTTCTTCCTTATTCATATCAAACGGACATTTTCCGAACTAAAAGATTTCAAATTCTGGTTGTGGAATGATATCACACAATGTAAACTAAACTGACTCAAAATCGCCAATTTCCATCATCTTCTCAGTAATTTGTTTAACGAGGGACCATTAGCAGTCAAAAGAAAGGTAACAGCGGTGGTTTCCTCAGGGTTCAATCACAGTATCTACTCTTCTATCCCTTCAAAGTTTTATCACTCTGAAACTGCAACGGTCCTTCTTAACCACTCTGAAATTGCATGGGTAGTTTTTCTGATTGTACTTTTCTTTTTCAAGTAAAGAAAAACCTTTCCCGAACCATGTTTCTCCACGTGTGGCACAACAAAGAATAAATTTTGATGTTCCATCCTTTCGTTTTCTTTTGTGCTTTATTTCGATTCTCTTGCCTCCCTTGTCATTTTGCCGTAACTGTGTTTTCTTTCATGTAGGTCACTTTGAGCTTTTTGTTTTCATGAGAAAATCTTGCGTCCATTGAGAAATTCACTCATTTCTTGAATTTGTCCAAAAGGGTATGCTTCATTTTCTTCTCATGAAAACCTGCAAGTATTCCGTTTTCTTGGTTTATATCTTATCAGTTCTCGCCGCTTTGTGTCTTGTTTTGTGGGTTTTGCAGGTGGGATTTTGCAAAACTTTGCAAAGATGAATGATTTGATGACAAAATCGTTCCTAAGTTATGTGGAACTTAAGAAACAGGCACAGAAGGACCGTGAAGGCGATCTTGACATTGAGGCAGGGAAACTCAACCCCACGGAAGACCGCAACCTCTCTCAATTTTTCCAAGAAGTTGAAGCAATCAAGGTTGAAATGGAAGATATTACCAACCTCTTAGTTGATCTTCAGCAACTGAATGAAGAGGCAAAGTGCACCCACAGTGCCAAAGTTCTTCGAGGCCTAAGGGACCGCATGGAGTCTGACATGGTTGCCGTGCTTCGCAAGGCACGTATTATCAAGGCAATGCTTGAGGTTCTTGACAAATCCAACATAGCCAATCGTCGTTTATCAGAATCCTACAAAGAGGGAAGTCCCATTGACAGGACCAGAATGTCTGTCACAAATGGTTTGAGGGTCAAGCTTATGGCCATGATGAATGATTTTCAGTCCTTGAGAGACAAGATTCTATCTGATCACAAGGAAGATTTGAAGAGAAGATACTACAGAGCAACGGGTGAGGTTCCCACTGAGGAGGTAATGGAGAAGATGGTTTCCGGAAGTCTTAAAGTGGAGTTTTTGGCTGGGAAAACGGATGCAGATTTGGGCACGCAAGTTAGGCACGAGGCAGTGATGGATATCCAGAGGAGTTTGAATAAGCTTCACCAGGTTTTTCTTGATATGGCTGTTCTGGTTGAGACACAGGGAGAAAACATGGATAACATTGAAGATAATGTGGCTAATGCGGCTAACTTCATCCATGGTGGAACTAATAGTCTCTACTATGCCAGCCAGATGAAGAAGAAGAACAGAAAGTGGTTGTGTTGGGTTTTTGCTGTGGGGCTGATTATACTACTCGTATGCATCGTTGCAATGTTGTCTTCTTGACGAGAGCAATTAGGAACCAGTTTTCGGAGTTTCGAGACTGTAAAGCTACTTTCATTTGGTTCTTGTGTGTTGGCGACAGTTCTGTAAATTGATTCAAATTTGTTCATGACAACAAAAATTTACTGAATAGAATTGATTGGTAGTTTCTAGTAAATTTTTCTGTTTTTGGTTACCACTTTTTCTGAGTTAGTTGTTTTTCATCTGTGCTTCGGTGATTTTTCCCTCACTCTACAGTACTGACAGGCCTAAATTTTTTATTTTAAAAAAATATAAACAAAAAACATCGGCAAATAGGCAGTTCCATTCGTAATTTTCTAAAATGGTTTAGTAATAACTGGTTAAAACTGAATCGGCACCAAGTAGAAAAAGCCAAAGGAAGGCCATTGTTTTTCTTTTGCTATCCTTAAACAGGATATTATACCTTCACTCTACAAATATCTTATCCCAAACTAGTGTGAACAAATTATAGCCACTAATCCTGCGCAACGTCTACTACTTTTTTCTCCACATTATTTCAACTTCTCTTCTGAAGATAGTTCCATTTATTTGCACTTTAACGGTGGCGATGTTGCTCCTTTCACCAAATGCGGAGCAGACCCAGGCCTTATTGGACAGATGTTCAAATATAAAAGAACTGATGCAGATTCATGGCCAAATGTTGAAAAAAGGCACCGTCAGGAACCAGGTAACAGTTAGCAGGCTCTTGGCTTCATACGCAAGAATGGAGTTGGGTAACTTCGTCTACACTCGTATGGTTTTTGACAGAATAAGCTTACCAAGTACTGTCATATGGAACACCATGATCAGAGCATACTCAAATAGTAATGACCCAGAAGCAGCACTACTTTTGTACCAACAAATGCTTCACAATTCTGTACCTCATAATTCTTACACTTTCCCTTTCCTTCTGAAAGCATGTTCTGCTCTCTCGGCCTTAGAAGAAACCATGCAAATCCACGCTCACATTATCAAAAGGGGTTCTGGTTCCGAGGTTTATGCCACCAACTCTATCCTTCGTGTTTATGCAATTTCGGGCAACATCCAATCTGCTCACGTCCTATTCAATCAGCTTCCCTCGCCAGATATTGTTACGTGGAACACAATGATTGATGGGTACATAAAATTTGGATACGTAGACATTGCCTACAAGATTTTTCAAGCGATGCCTACGAAGAATGTCATCTCTTGGACAACCATGATTGTTGGGTTTGTTAGGGCAGGCATGCACAAAGAAGCTTTGTCTCTTCTACAGCAAATGCTAGTTGCAGGCATTAAACCTGATAGTATAACCCTCAGTTGCTCTCTTTCAGCATGTGCAGGCCTTGGTGCATTGGAGCAAGGCGAGTGGATTCGCACCTATATTGAAAAAAACAAAATAAAAATAGATCCAGTCTTGGGTTGTGTTCTTATAGATATGTATGTTAAATGTGGAGTATTGGAAAAAGCCCTATTAGTGTTCAGTAAGTTGGAGAAAAAATGTGTCTGTGCTTGGACAGCAATAATCGGTGGCTTTGCAATCCATGGAAAGGGTAGAGAAGCTCTAGATTGGTTTACCCAAATGCAGAAAGCCGGAACTAAGCCAAACTCTATCACTTTTACTTCAATTCTGACTGCATGTAGTCATGCAGGACTAACTAAAGAAGGAAAATTCCTGTTTGGGAGCATGAGTTCTGTTTATAATATTAAACCTTCTATGGAGCATTATGGATGCATGGTGGACCTTTTGGGTCGAGCAGGGTTGTTGAAGGAGGCAAGGAAGTTCATAGAGTCCATGCCCATAAAGCCAACTGCGGCAATATGGGGAGCACTGCTCAATGCTTGCCAACAGCACAAACATTTTGAGCTTGGTAAAGAGATTGGCAAAATTCTGATCGAGTTGGATCCTGATCATAGTGGCCGGTATATTCATTTGGCAAGCATATATGCTGCAGCCGGAGAATGGAACCATGCGGTCAGAGTGAGAAGCCAGATCAAACATAGGGGACTGCTAAATCATCCAGGATGCAGTAGCATCACCCTGAATGGGGTTGTCCACGAGTTCTTTGCCGGGGATGGATCCCACCCACATATCCAAGAGATTTATGGCATGCTTTATCATCTTGCAAATAGATGATATGTTAACTGTTATAGAAAAAATTGTGAGTAGAATGAAAATGAATCTAGTGAAAGTGCGAGGATAGAATAATGGTTTTTCAATGCCTGTGGAGTGGAGCGAAAATGAGAAAAATGTAGTTTTCCAGCATCCAAAATATAAAAGAAAAAGAAAATTATTATTTCCCTTTTGTTGTTACAATAATGTTACGGATGTAATGAGGTTTAGACGAGGTTTACCTCTTGTACATTATCCCTCGCCACTAGCCTAATATTAGTGGCATAGAATATTATTTATACAGCTGATACATATTATTGGCGTATCAAATAAAAAAATAAATAAATTGATGATGTAGAAGCACATTTACGTTCAAACTGTGCTAAGGTGCTGCACAGCTGTCCAAGTCTGTTCTGGCTCTAGCTGGACACTTCCAATCTGAAGCAATTAGTAGGAAAAATTATAATTCAGAAGAATCAATAGAGAAGGCTTTAAAATCAATTCAGCAATCAGAATACTGTGTTACTGCAGCATGCTCGGGAATGTCAAAAAGCCACTGGTGTCTACTTAAATTCAAGAGCCATTATGTTAACATTGTGATCATGAAAAATGGACAGCTAAGAAGTGTATATCTTTGATCCTTTTGTAGAATGCTGTGTGAAGTCATTACCTTAGCATTTTCGACACAAACAAAATCTTTGTAACATGCTTCCATTTGAAGATAAGGATTCCACAACACGGCATCTGACCAACTACACAGATAAGAGGCAAGAGAAGTATAAGAAAGTGAATTGGGCAAACCAAATAATTAATGGAAGTTTAGAACTACATACTTCGTGTTCTTGATAGATATTAGATCACCCAAACCATTGTCAAGTTGCAACTCACTGGAAGCATCAAGATAAACGCAATCTACAAATCCAGGGAAAGTGACCACATCCCTGCATTATAAAGATTACTATCTATTAAGCTAAATTAAGAAATTCAATGTTAAGATATGATTCCACATTATTCAATGAAATTTTGGTTTTACATGAATTAGATTGAATCAAAATATACCTGCGCAATAGATAAAGATGAATAATGAGGAAATACTAAAAACTCAAACACACGGGAATATATATTGGCCACTAAATGAATGTAATGTTTTGTTTAAATTCAGGCAAAATGAATAAAGGTGGATTTTAAGTAAGAGCTGAAAAACGTAAAGAACAAAGGGTATCGACAAGAAAATGCATGTCAACATATGTCTAGCATACTGATGATCATTGGAAATGCTCAATAGTTAGGTAGTATAGTTTGTTATCCAACCCTTGGATTACGCAAAAGGAAACTTAGTAATTACCATTTTCTTTTCCCAGCACAATTAATTATTGTTTCATTTCCATTTAAGAATTCCAAGACAAAAAGTATTATACATACCTCTCTTCCCTACCCTCCACTGGATTTTTAGGATCCGGATCTTTGTTCAAAGTTTTGCAACCTTTCAACCCCTTTACTGATGCATCACTTGCAGAAGCCTGCAAGGCAACACTAAATGATTACTTCTACAAGTTTAAGCAGCAAGTATAAGCTATGGAATTGAGTTTAAAATTTTTTGCATTAGAATAAATCTAATTGATTTAAATAATACTGAAAGATAAATGTTTGTTAACGGATTGGATGCTTAGTTTCAGTTCAGATCTTCAATTAACCCAATACCAAACGTTAAACAATAGAAAATACTATTTAGGTTATGCCACGGTGTGATTATTCAAAATTATGATCCTTATCACTTACTCGAAAATATGCGTGCAAGGCAGTACTAAATGAGAATGCTTTATTGTCTGTATTTTTAACTGTTAACTCGGTTGAAAGACTTTTAGCATTTAGCGTGACCTGCACAAAAGGAATAATAAAAAAATTGCATCATCATTAGGTAGTAGAACACAACAAACATGAGCGCAAGTAGCCTAATTCTATTGTATCGTCTCTTCTATAGTGACATTGTGCACTTTAGAGGATAAAGGGCAATTATACTTATTGATTGAAAAGTCAACAGTTGAGATTGAAGTAAAATACATATGCATAATAAAATATGAAGTTACAATCTCAACTGTACAGTTTATCCTCTAAAGTCAAACACCTGACTTTGAAGAAGTTAAATTTGTAGTATCGCAGAGATGAATTGTGGTTGAAGAAAATAAGGCTTGACCTTGAATAAAGCATGGAAGCTGAAATCCCACATAGCACGACTATAAGGAGCATCCTTCAGTTCCAGAGTTACCACAGGATTTCCTTCCGCGTTTTCAGAATCAACAACAGTCCAATCCATATTCCGTGCAAATCCATGCTATTGAATACTCAACCAAGAAATGTTTTAAATAAAAGAATCGGTATTCAATGGAAAAAAAGAGCAGTACAATCATGTCATCTCACCACTCATGAATTGTGATTTTACTAAAGGGAAGGAAGTTTTATTAGCTAAAAGAAGCAACATCTAGAAACCAGAGTAACATAGCAGTCAAAGATTCACACCGTGACCTATTACCCAAGACCAAGATGTAGAATACTCTATTTCCCAGTTTTTTGAATTTTAATGTAGCAGATATAACCAAAAAAAATCATGAACTGCATAAAATAGCATGTCATTGAGTGATCGACTAAAGGAGCAAGCATACCTGCTGAATCGGACCAGGACCAAACTGTGGAAAACAATGTGGAACGCCTCCACTGCCGAAATATGAAATTCATCAGTTTCTGAGGGTCCAAAATTAGTAAATCAAGAACCGCAAAAGAGTTCAAATGATATACTCGGCACAATCGATGGAGAGATACTTAAAGGAGTAATTGAGCACATGAAGTAAAAAGGAAAGGGATTTGTAGGAGAAGAACCAAACCTTATGGGTTTCTTCTGATTAAAAACAGCGTCAGGGCGAACAAAGAGGAGATCCTTGCCACTGGGAACTTTCCAAGAGGTAATGCACCCCCCGAAGAGGTATATCTCAGCCTCACTGCACACACACACACAACAGATTGATTCAACGTAACACTAAAGCTCGTGTTACACACCGAGTGGGGAGGAAAATTAGCTTGTAGATACGCACCTACCAGCCGGAGAAGATAGCACAAGCTTGGGCAAATTCCCCTCTCCCTCTGTCAGTCGCACTCCCAAAGATGTACTTGCTTTGTTGTTCAAGCTTGCAAACGCCATTCCACCACACCTTTTACCAAATGCAAACTTTATCAAATTGAAGAATTTCGATACTAATATTGTGTTAAACGAGAAATTGAGATTTATTTATATTAACCTATTAATTCGGCCATGGTTGGGGAAGGTGGGAGTATTGACGCCGAATGCCATGGAAACCATCGCCATTTGTTTTCCCAGTCTCACTCTCACTCTCTCTCTCTCTCTCTCTCGCACTGTCACAACTTGTTATAGTTACAGCTGTTTTGTTTGTCACGGTGTACTCTCGTGTCGTGCTCGCGGAAATTCGGATATTCGTCTCAGCTACCTCCTTTTGGGCGAAATAGATTTAGCCCGAACCGGCCCATAACCCATGGTGGGCCTAACGTATGGAGCCCAGCAAGGAATAGAGAAATCCAGTGGAAATCTGTTTGGGACAAGCTAAGCGAGAGAAAGAGATGTGGCGATCACTGGAGGTGTTGAGGAAGGTGAAAGCGAAAGCGGTTAGTGGGGTCCAGTTGAAATGGATGAGCACGGTGATGTGTTTAGGTGATGGTAGCCAAGGGGCCGTTGGATCCCCGGTGGGTGTGGGACTCCATGCATACGAACCCACCCCTGTTTCTACTCTTCCTTCCGACATCGTTAGCGTCCACGCCGGACACTACCACTCCCTCGCCCTCACTTCCCACGGCCATCTCTGGGCCTGGGGCCGAAACAACGAGGCCCAGCTCGGGCGTGGCCCATCCTCTAGGTAAATCTACTCAAGTCAAGTAACTCCTGAACTTAATTGTAGGTTATTTTGAGAAGCGCTTTTCATGGTAATTGCGTAGAGAATCATGGCATGAGCCAGAGAGAGTGAAGGGGTTGGAGAATGTGAAGGTGTGTGGTGCTTTTGCTTCCGGTGTTGTTTCCGCTGCCGTTGGGGATGACGGTTCTGTGTGGGTGTGGGGGAACTCCAAACGCGGTCAACTTGGCCTTGGTCAAAATATCACCGAGGCTCTTGTGCCTACCAAAGTTGACGCACTTTCTGGAGAAAACGTCGCAAAGGTATCCTTGCACTTGATCCCCTGGTTGAATTGGTGACTAACTTAATTGTTTGTTTGGTTGAATTTTTATAGGTCTCGTTTGGATGGGGGCATGCTCTCGCTCGTACTGCGGATGGCAAGTTGTTTGGATGGGGTTATTCAGCGGACGGTAGGATAGGCAAAATGGGGAATCGCTTTGAGACATCTCTGTTGGAATCCGAGTCTTCAAATTCACAACTCTTAAGTTCAGACGTGGAAGATGCTGAAAAGAGAGTCTTGCAAGGAATGGAACAGGAGAATAACATGCCGATAATATGGGAGCCCCGCTTGGTGGAAGAATTACGCGGTGTTCATGTTCTGGACATTGCTTGTGGCCTTGACCATTCTCTGGTTCTTTGCCGTAAGTAACACACACAACACTCAATCCACACTTCATTCTGTTTTTGTTATTGTTACAATTTATAACATGCATGCGCTTTGGTCTTAAGTTTAGATCGTGTTATATCAGGTGATGGTGTGCTCTTGAGCTGTGGGAGCAACATATATGGCCAGTTGGGGCGAGCTGAATCAGATTTGGGAATTTTGCCTGTTAACATGAGCTTCAGTCCCATTTTTATAGCAGCAGGGCTTGGGCATTCATTGGCAATATGTCAGCTAGGTGAATCAGATGGTAGTGTGGGGACTACAAACATTGCTTCATGGGGATGGAACCTGAGTTCTCAGCTTGGGAGGCCCGGGGATGCGTCAGTACCTTCTTTGATTGATGCATTGAATGGGGAAAACCCTGTCTCGGTTTCAGCTGGACGTGCACATTCCCTTGCTCTCACGTCCAAAGGGGAATTGTGGGTCTGGGGCTCTGGTAAAAGTGGCAGACTTGGATTAGCTAGTTCTGCTGATCAAGTGGAGCCATTTTGCATTGATTCCTTAGAGGGTTTTCAAATTTTACAGGCTGTGGCGGGGTTTGATCATAATCTGATCCTAGTGGCTGGCTGATTTGACTTCAACAAATACGTTGGTGTTAACCCCAGACCCAGAAAATTTAGTTCGGGGAAAAGGAAAAGAAAGACAGAAAATAGTCCCTTGTGCTTGAACTTATAGATGGACTGATGGAGTGGAGTCTATCTATCTATAAATAACACTAAGCACTCTGTCTGTCCAATGTCAAGTGTACTTTTTTCTTTTGGAGGTGTTTTAAGTCGTTTAAGCTTAAGGTGAGGACAGGAAGATTATAAGCAGATTAGTTTAATTGGGGTCTTTGTTTTTCAGTGGTCTAGATCGTGATGTGTATTTTTGCTGACATTTTGGTACAAATAGCTGAAGTGAATTTAAACTTTTAAGAGATGCGAGCAATGAAGAAGCAATACTCACGGAAGTAACAAAATAGAATGGACATTTATTCTTATTTTGAAATTTAATCACAAGAATTTCTAAGAAAACCCCCCCTCCTCACCATTGCTTCTGCTCTTTTTATATCACAATTAAAAACCTTCTGCAGCTTTCACAGGAAGGTTGAGCAGAAATACATAGTAAATGTAAAAACTTTGGACAGTGTTTTATTTAATTTCGCTCTGGGTTTATTTTCGTGGATGGTTAGCATGTTGGAAGGTTCTTCGGTGGAGGCCGAACAGATTGATCTTGTCCTGGTCCATTTTCCACAACAAAAGCCGTTTTCAACCCCCAGCCAGTATGCAGCTCCAAATGACAATGCATAAACCAAACACCTACAATACACAAGAACATAACATTAATCATACATAATATACCTGTTAAAAATCAGGCATCAGACAATGCTTAGATTGTTCCACTGTTGAACGTTATAAGGTTTAGGACAACTTAACGGGACAGATACCTGGATTATCTGCCCGAAAACGAATTGCTGTCCAACCGCTCGTAGGAACCCCAACTGTGTTCCTCTCGATAGGATCTACCAAGTTGTACTTGGCAGGGTCTTTAGCAGGATCAAAGTTACCAACCCCGGTTCCAACAACAAAAAAGTTATAGCCATGAAGATGGAATGGATGTGACTCAACACTGAGAAGATTGGTGTCCTGCAAAACTAGCTCCACGATGGAATTGAAAGCAATCTTGCTTACCCTTGTGCCAGTTAAAGTGGCAAGATTGGCGGTTAGAGGCGCACCAGTATAGTTGAAAGGGGTCGGAGGGTGGTCAGGAAAATCAGTCCTGAAAACCCCCTTGATATTGAAGTAGTGAGCTTGGAGAAGCGCAGTTTGGGGCATCACAAAAGAGACATTGTTTAATGAAGCAAGTAGCCGAGTCCCATTGAGGCATGTGGAGCAAGAATTCTGGCCTAAACCAATAGTGTAGAAAAGGTTTCTATCAACTGTTAGAGGAACATTAGCAGGATACTGAGCAGAGTTTAGGCTCCTTAGTTTGTTGTTGTAACTCAAAGCAAAACGTGTGTCATTGCTTGCCGGCAACTGTGGAAGGATGGGGAGGATAGTGTTTGGGATGCCTTTGTATTGGAGTATAGCTGTTGCAGTTTTGTTGTCAACTGGAATTGGAGCATCCATAAAAGCCTTGGTGGCCATGAAGTATCTACCTGCAACTTGGTTAGCTTGGACTAGAACGTTTGTGGTTTGACCAGGTGCAATTAGTATAGCTTGAGTGGTGAACGGTTTGGTATAAACAGCGTCAACCTCGACTACTGTCAAAGTGTGACCCGCAATGGCAAAGAAAAGCTCGTCATTGAGGGCAGCATTGATGATTCTCAAGAGGTAAGTCTTCCCTTGTTCTACTTCCATTGCAAATGTGTCTTAATAAATTGAAACAAAGTGCAGTTAGTACAATGTTTCACTTTTTCCACACCTCAATCAAAAACCAAAATTGAGCTAAATATTTTCTTACGCTTCTCAGGACATGGAAATAGTGGTCCTGGCTTCCCGTTGATCGTATGTGCATCTGACATATTTGGTGGCAACCCCATTTTGTTCCCTTGATTTTCAATATCTTCCACGTCATTGTTCCACCATTCACCTATTGCATGCACGGACAATTAGTTATAGCAAATTCCATACCCTTTTATTCTTCCAATATTAAGATATAATATATATACTTGGCATTCAAACTGACCTAGGAGAATTTCAAATTCTCTGTCTGGCTGTGGGAACGGAAATGGGGTTCCAGATGTAGGCATAATCACTATTGCGCCATACACTGTGGCCCTCAGCCATAGAATGTGTGCATGCCACCATAGTGTTCCTCTTTGACCAGTAACATTGAAATCATAAGTATAGCTTCTTCCTGACTGTATCGGACACTGTGTGATATAAGCCGGTCCATCCGCCCAACCATTACGATATTGTTTAAGTCCATGCCTAAATAAGCAATATGGTTGTGACTTGTGAGAGAAACAAGATATTAATGCTTACACATATACATGCTAGTATCAAAAGGTTCATCTATGTTTTTTATATAGCACCATTGGCTTACCAATGAATCGACATGTTGTATTGTGCATGATTGGTGACATTGATCAACACTCTATCTCCTTCCCTAGCATATATAGTTGGCCCTGGGAACCTCCCATTTATCGTTACAATGGGCTTTGCATGGCATAGTCTACTCACATTCGCCACTTGAACCTGTAGAAAACAGAAAATGCTATCAAGTGATCCTTGCATAAGTATGTTGATTATGATATGAATACAACTCTAACTCACATCAAACTGGTATTTCTTTATGGCAGCTTCAGATGAAGAAGACATTAAGCCAACCAAGACAAAGAAGAGAAAGGTTAAGACAGACATGGAACACCCCAAGCTTGCCATTCTGTCTTTGATGTCCAAGTTCTATTCGATATCTTGGCTTGAATGGATGCAGGAAGTGGTACATATGTTGGAGTATTTATATGAATGGGGAGAAGGTAAGATATGGGCTATCAGTTTGTTGCATTAAGAATTATAAACACCATAGGCTGATTAGGTAGTACTTTTAAGTTTGAATGAGCTGTGAGTAAAAACTTGTAAGAGAAATATGACAAAAAATTATAAAGGCCTTGGCTTCCGTATAGGCTGAGTTTCTGAGGAAGGATCAGTATTTAGAGATGTTATAATTTTTATACTACACGTTTTCAAAATTTGAACTGAAAATGATAGGTACATGAAATCTAACCGAGTAATCTACCTTAATATACTCTAGCTACAGGCTTTATCGTTAAGGAGAAGTAATGGCTTAGCCAAAGGGTGAATGCTGATGCCAGAAATTAATTTCCTTGTGCCACCCAAGTGGAAAGCTCCTTTGCCACTTATTATAGTAATTGCTGTGATGCCATTATAGTAAAATCCCACCATTTTAAGATGTAGCAACTTCTAAGAAAAGAAATGTATCGTCCATGGACTATATCAGTTTATCTTCTGCTTCATATAATAGTTAGCTCAATTTCTTCAATAAGAACCTATTGAACCCTCGAGGCTGTTTGAGAAGCTTAAAAGCAGTGGATGAGTTTTGAATGTCACAACAATACCACTATATATGTTTTGAATAATTAAATAATAGCTTAATTGATTTGAACTATTTTAGAAATAAAATCCAGATATACCAAATCAAGCTTTTGACTATGGGAGTAACAACACTAGAATTTTATATTTCAACAATCTTAGACCTTTATTTATCTTTTTCATTATTTCTTTTTCCACCGTTTTATTCATTTTTTTTTCTTGTCTTATCTCTTTCTTTCTGAAGTATATTGGTCTCAAGATGTTTGAGAAAACATCTTTTTGGAAGCAAGTCATATGTATGTGGCTTTATGCTTCAGCTACCAAACCTGAAAACAATTTATTTGTTTGAGTATAGTAGGCTTATAAATAAGGACAGAAATTATTTGGTTCAAGAGTGAGTGATTGCTTATATACCATTAAAATGAATTAAATATTTCATATTAGTTATTAATTTATATAATTAACCTGTAATGTTTTAAATAAGAGACCATCAACCTAGAGCTTGTTAATTTGCTTTGTTGCTTGGAAAATGCTGTTGAATGGTCGAGTCGAGGGTGCTCCACCAACTTAGTTCGTTTGCTAGTTGTTTATGTTTTCCACCAACTTATATTTTTTTGATTGCTAGCTTTTTCTCTAATTCTTGTATAACTTCTAGTTAACAAGTGTATGGAGTTCAAGTGTTTTATAAACTAGAGATTGCTGCATCCTTCTGTTATCACATTATTCATTGAGTCAAATAACAAGTTTATTACTTTCCTTCTTACTGAAGGATCTTAGGAACCATTAGAAATAACATTTGCTTTTATTAAAATCTAAAACAAACAAAACACCACATATACAAGGAAGTAAATATAGAACAAAATATGTAAAAAACTATTTAAAATTACATTCACTAATCTTCAGCATCATTATAAAATAGTTCAACATGTAACCAAACATTCAACATAAAGTATATATGGTATATACTGAAGTCGAAAACTATTTTGTATTGGACCATGATATCAGAAAACTATCTTTGGCAGAAACTATTGGCAGAGCATCACATCAGCCATGATATGACTAAACTTTTCTGGGTGCATGTAGCAGCTGGGAAGTCTCGTCCCAAATATGCGTGAAATAGCTGCACACTTCACTCATGCACGAATTTGCCTATAGAATCATGGGAGTGTTTGAACTTTCAACCATAAAATACTTCCACCATTTTATTTCATCTTTCCATTTCAACAGCATTTTCTATATTTATCTATCTGTAATAAGAATTCCAATTTTCAAGTTTGAAGCTTCAATCAAACTTCATGAACATAGCATGTTGAGTTTCAAAGAAACCTGCAAGCAATATTGTCTTGCTTTTGAAGCTCTACTAATTGGTTGTATCATTTCCGTCTTTTGGTGAAAGAAATGAAAAACACCAACTATAACAAATTCGCGAGTATTTATTTATGCAAGTTTTATTTATCAGGTAAATAAATTATTAATGCATCATATCATTAATTAATAGTTCACTTGTAGTTAAGCAAAATCAATTATCGGTTGAATATTATATATATATATATATATATATATATATATATATATATATATATATATAAATGTTATTTTATAAATTGATTTTATAAAATTAAGTAAAATTCATATTTATTTTTTAAGATTATTTAAAATCCAAATTAATTCAAAAATTTCTCATTTTTTATGATTAAATATTAACAATCAAATCAAACTTCATATTATATTTAAATGTAGAAAAATTGATATCTTAACAATCTTTGTTTAGATAAACACCAATAGTTTACATATTAAAAAAAACAATTATTTAACAACTTCAAATGATTTTTAATGATGATTGTTAAGGTTCCAACATAAAATCAAAATCATACCAAATGACATGAGATAGGCGATGTGGGACTTTCAACACACCCCTCCAACGAAGTCGGACCAGTCAAAAGTACCCCATGACAATAACCGGACAGATCAGGCAAAAGGTACTTTTGATTCATGACAATAACCGGAAAAATGTTAGGCTTTGACTCGATATCATGTTAAGGTTCCAACGTAAAACCAATTGGTAATATGTGAAGTAGTTTAACATGTATTTAAACCATACCAAATAATATGAGATAGGCGATGTGGGACTTTCAACATTGATAATTTTAGATTATCATTTATAAATACAAGAAAATACTTATCGTAAAAAAATCCTAATATATCTGTAAGAATTTTTTTATAAACCTTTAACAATAATTTTGTAAAAAAAATACAACTCATTTATAATTTTTTTTAATAATTAATAAACCGTAAATTATTTTAACAATTAATAATGTTATTTAATTTAATCCAAAATTTATATTAAACTAAAACAAATCAAATCAAATTATATTTATTTTTTATATATTATTTTACGAAAATCTGAATAAGTATATCATAATTGTATATAATAATAAAGCTTGATTTACTAGTTTAAGGTCTCCAACTTTGATTCAGATGTGCAAAATATTCTTTTACTACTTGTATACTCAAAAGAAAGTCTTCAATTTTGAGATTTGTAGTTAAAACTCCCGCCATGTTATAACTTATTTCCAAACGAGACAGTTAACGATTTTAAAGTTCAGTACTTACTGGTGTACAAAAACTAACTAAAATTTTGTATTTCCTTTCCATTTCATTTTTCAATGAAGTTATTTAATCTAATAATTAACAGATGAAAACTCATCACTTGTTATAATTTAATAAAACTTTGGTTGCTCTTTAGAAGTTTCCCTGCTTCAAAATAACTCTTAAATAGCAATAAATGATACATATCATGATATCAACAACTTGCAATGAAAAGAACAAGTAAATTTTATCCATGCTCCAAACTTTGCTTACATTTGTTAGCTCTTAATTAAAACTCTGCATCTTTAGCAGGAAGTATTAACAAACAGATAATAAATGTTGAATAAAACACCGTTACAACCCAATCCAAGGTTGTTAACAATTTCTTTTATGTGTCTAGCATGCTGGAAGGTCCTTCGGTGGAGGCAGAACAGATTGATCTTGTCCTGGTCCATCTTCCACAAGGAATGCGGTTTTCAATCCCCAACCTGTGTGCAGCTCCAAATGACAATGCATGAACCAAACACCTACACATCAACCAACGTGCAAAATTTAACAACATGTCATCATATCGTAACTAAGACATCCCTTAAATGTATTAAGTAATGTTTTAACATTTTCTCAGTTTTCTAAGGTCGCAGATGCTCTTCATCACAAAAAATTATTATGTAGTCGCAAATCATCACGGGTTCGCACTCTTAGCAATCTTTATACGATACGTACTTAAATTTTCTAATCTATGGCAAAAGAATAAACAACACGATGCATGTAATAATTTCAGCACTCTTAATATTCTTCTCAAATATACATACCTGGATTATCAGCTCTGAAACGAATTGCTGTCCAACCACCGGTGGGAACCCCAACAGTGTTTCTCTCTATAGGGTCTACCAAGTTGTATTTAGCAGGGTCTTTTGCAGGATCAAAATTACCGATCCCAGTTCCAACAACAAAGAAGTTATAGCCATGAAGATGAAAAGGGTGCGACTCAACAGTGAGGAGATTGGTATCTTGCAAAACTAGCTCCACGGTAGAGTTAAAGGGAACCTTACTGATTCTTGTGCCCTTTGAAGTACCAAGATTAACCGTTAGTGGTGCACCAGTGTAGTTAAAAGGTGTTGAAGGCTTATCCGGAAAATCAGTTCTGTAAACCCCCTTGATATTGAAGTAGTGAGCTTGGAGAAGCGCGGTTTGGGGCATCACAAAAGAGACATTGTTTAAGGAAGCAAGAAGCCGCGTTCCATTGACGCATGTGGGGCATGAATTCTTGGCCAAACCGATGGTGTAAAAGAGGTTTCGATCAACTTCGAGTGGAACATTAGCAGGGTACTGAGGAGAGTTTAGGCTTCTTAGTTTCTTGATATAACTCAAGGCAAAACGTGTATCATTGGCTGCAGGAAGAGAAGGAAGAGAAGGGAGGACAGTGTTTGGAATGCCTTTGTATTGGAATATAGCTGTGGCGGTTTTGTTGTCAACAGGGATTGGTGCATCCATAAAGGTCCTAGTAGCCATGAAGTATCTTCCTGCTACTTGGTTGGCCTTGACTAGAACATTTGTGGTTTGACCAGGAGCAATGAGAATGGCTTGAGTGGTGAATGGTTTTGTGTAGACAGCATCAACCTCCACCACTGTCATGTTGTGACCCGCAACGGCAAAGAAAAGCTCGTCATCGAGGGCAGCGTTGATGATTCTCAGTAGGTAAGTTTTTCCTTGTTCAACCTCCATTGCATATGTATCTGACAGATAAATGAAAATTTTGTATTGAGAGATTGGGAATGAAACGGTTTTCAAGTTTAGTTCTCTTTGGAGCAAAGATACTTTTTAGCCATATATAGCCAAATCGTAGACTCTTCCTTTACATAATCACAAAGTTGGGCAGATTTTGCTTACGTACGTTTCTCTGAGCAAGGGAAGAGTGGTCCTGGCTTTCCATTGATTGTATGTGCATCTGACATATTTGGTGGCAACCCCATCTGGTTCCCTTGCGTTTCAACCGCTTCCACGTCGTTGTGCCACCATTCTCCTGTTAACAAAGTTTTATCACAAGTAAACGTGTTTGAAAATCCGTTGAAAAGCCCAAAATCGCTTCAATTCCGTTAGACAATTAATATAGAAACTATATAATTATTAACTTTTCAGTAAAAAAATGGCATCTACAACGTAAAACCAAACGTTATATGTGTGATGTGTTTCAGAATCTGAACCAACCTAGCAGAATTTCAACTTCTCTGGCTGGCTGTGGGAAAGGAAATGGGGTCCCTGGTTTAGGCATGATAACAATTGCACCATACACTGTGGCCCTCAACCAAAGAATATGAGCATGCCACCACAATGTTCCTCTTTGCCCTGTGACGTTGAAATCATAAGTGTAGCTGCTACCAGTTTGAATTGGACACTGTGTAATGTAAGCTGGCCCATCAGCCCAACCATTGCGATATTGTTTAATCCCATGCCTACATTACAATCAATAATCCATATAATTCTATAAGAGTCCCATCTGCATGTGTAAACATAATATTATGAATGTCACCTTTGTGTCTAGTAAATACAAATTGGCCTACCAGTGAATTGACATGTTGTATTTTGCATGGTTGGTTACGTTGACTAGTACTCTATCTCCTTCTCTAACATAAATCGTTGGTCCTGGGAACCTCCCATTCACTGTTACGATGGGTTTTGCATGACATAGTCTACTCACATTCTTTACTTGAATCTGTGGGTACAATACAATACAATCGATGTGATCAAAGTTCAAAATAGATAGTTGCTTAAGCATGCTGATTTTGACCACAAAAGCATAGAATATATAACTCACATCAAATTGGTATTTCTTTGTTGCTGCTTCAACTGTGAAGGAGAATAAGCCAAGAAATCCAAAAATAACTATTAACAAACATTTGTGAGTGCGGAAGTCCATGGCAGCAGCCTTTGTTCTTCTTCTTTTAGACAACTTCAGTGTAGTGTATGCCTATGATTCAATGTTGAGGAGATGGTGAGAAATGTGGACACAGTATTTATACAAATTGATGCAAAGTTAGGTTGGACTAAGCAGTTTATTAAAGAGAACTTGATTAGGTAACGAAATTGTTTTACATCAAGGCTTGCAAGCGATATGTTGACAAGGACTTCAAGGTCTTTGGAATGCCTTAGAGGCTGAGATTCCTAGGCCAATAAAAAAAATTCACAAGCACGATTCATTTTTTTTATTTCAGTTAATGTGGACTGAAAGTGAGGGATATGGGGACCAAACAAACCTTATACATTGCTCTAATCCATTTCTTTAAAGGGAAGTAATGTGTTAAAGGGTAAAATGTAACTGTAGGGAGAGATTGAGCAGAGATACTCTGTGTGCTTTCAACCAAATATATATTTAATTATTGTTTTGTATTTGAGTGAGAAAACAATGAAACCCCTTTTATTTGTTAATAATAATTCACTTGGCTATTGTAGGAAATTCACCAAACAAAAATATTTGGTTGCTTTAGGGCTTGCATCCTTTCTGTAAATCCTTCGTTGGTGGACTTTCCATTGCTTGGGACCAGACTAAATTGGCGTTGCAAATAAATAGCACAAGTTTTAAGATACTGCTACGTTATATCCAAGTTAAGAAATGTGAGCCTTGTGTCGCTGTGTCACTAACTAGTCATTAGTGATTATTTTTTAAGCCATGAGCACTCATAAACCAAGCACCATCTCTACTATTTTTCGTTTTCTTTTTAAATTCTTATGTAACATAATTTTTTTAACATGTTTTTATTGTTTTTTAATATTAACACTAAAGTTATGCTACTTAATACAAATTCAACTATGTACTTTTTATTATTTTATATTTCTAATTTAATTAAAAAATAATTTTTTGTCTGTTTATCATATTTTAAGATTATAAATTTATAATTAAAAATATAATTACATTTTTATATATATTTATCATTTAATATTTTATATATAATTAGTAAAAAAATATGTACTAACTAAAATATAAGAATCGTTAATAAAAATAAATACATTAATATAAAAAAAGGAATTAGGTATAGTAAAATAATATAGGAAATAACTATAAAATTCATTGAACATAGTTTAATGGTTAGAATTTGTCATATAATATGGTATTTGTATGTTGCATAATTTGTACGTGGTTGAGTATTGGAATCATTATTATTAATAATTATTTATGTAGGCAATGTTGTCTTATAATAATTTATAGATCTAATATCCCAATACCATAATGATGATATCATCAGAGATGACAAAAATATTTTATTCAAAAAGAAAATATTTAATGTTTAAAGAACGTAACTCCAAATTGACTTTCCCAATTAGATTTTTAAAATGATCCATATAGTAGTAAAATATAACAAATTGAAAACTAGATTTACAAGCTTATTAATAACTTGAATGACCAACTTGTTCATGACTAGATTTACTTTATAAGTTGATTAAAGTGTTTGGTATTGTTATTATTGTGATGTATCATACTAATGAAAAAATTATGTAAAATTAATATTTATGGGAAAAATATGATTAATTGAAATGAATAATATTTTATATTTATTTTATTATTTATATCTTATGTTTCCTTGAATCAAAATATTATTACATGTATTGTATATTTTTATGTAAATATTTATTTTTGTAAAAATTTTAATCTTCAATAGGTAATTTTGTCAGTAATCTCGCAATGTAATCTACTTTTAATGATATTACCATAAAAAAGATGTTTGTTTGGGTTTCATATCTACTTTAAGAAATTTATCTAGATTCAATGGATATCATGAGAAATATATTGGCGTGGGAGAAATTAATTCATAATTTGATTAGTTTGATGAAACTTACTAGTTGTGAAATAGATTAAAGGTACATTAGGAGGTCAAGTATAAGAAACTTGAACATTTGTTAGGTGTTTTAGGGTACTTCTTTGTTAAGAAGTACATATAAATTGTAAAAAAAAAATTGATAGTTAGGAAATAAAATAGATGAATTCCTTATATATATATATATATATATATATATATATATATATATATATATATGCAAGAATAGTAAATATATTATGATAATATCTCTTTTGATTGTAATTATCTACCATGTAATATATGACATAAACAAGGTATTTGATCTTTGTCCAATGCGAGACAATCTAATATAAAAAAAATTATAATTTCATGAGGTATATTATAAGGTAAAAAAAAAACTAAATCTAATTATATACATTTTTGCAAAAGGAAAAATTAATACTTCATCAACGTCTTGTTAATTAAATCTTTAACAAAAGTGATAAAGACATGTAATTCGATCAGATGTCCTTATTAAAAAATATACATCTCCAATATTTTCTTGATAAAAGTCA